ATTTTGCTAGAGTGGCAAATCCACTGTGTGTATAACCTCAGACTCATTTACCAATAATTGCCCTCACTAACATCTCTGAATTTAGCAATTTGCTACAAGGCAGAATGGAGTGGAAGGGTAGCATTTCAGGTGTATTCCCCAGTTGTCAAGCCCTAGGAAAAGACAGTGTCACTTTTTCAGCATTCCTCTGGCTCCATGCAAAGTAGCAAGAGTGGGTAGCGTGCGTGGTGGCAATACGAAAGGCTTGAGGCAAAAAGCTGCTAGAACATCAACCGTTCCGTAATTAATAATTCTCATTATAACCCTTACGGAAAAATAAAAATAAAATAGTAACACAATTCAAAAGGTATTTTTCAAAAGAAGCAGAAAACAAATGTGATTTAATACAAAATAAAAGTGATTTGATTTGTGCCGTGCTGGTCTCAAGTCAACCCCTTTATCTCCTATGAGGGAGCAGAGCTGTTTGGCTCTGGAGTGCTTTACTGTCGCTCTGTTATCAGGATCGCATTCATGCTGGATCTCCTGCAGAAGCCAATGAAGTAGGCGTATTTAGTGTGTGTTTCAGGCCATGTGCCAGTTGAACGGGGACTGAAATCCACCTCCTGCAGCTTTGCAAACTCAACTGTTTTCTTCTAAAGTTGAACTGTGGCAACAGCTGCTTTTTTCTCATTATTTTTTCTGAACATTCAAAATTTATGACTATATTTTAAAAAGTCCATCTGAATATCCATCACCACTTGCACTTTAAAACACATGACTGTGTAACCAATTTCACATTATTTCACCTGAACTGTCCACTCTAGGCCAAATCCAAATAAGATGTCACCACTTATTTTTAGTTTCATCTTAACATTTCAGCTGTTGGCAAAGAAATATGAATTCTTATTCTAAGGTGTTGGAGGACCTTTTCAAAGTAAAGGTGGTTGCTGTGAAATGCTCTGAACAAGCATCACTGAATTTTGATTGTTTTGTATTTACCTACCATTTCTCCACATACCAGATACAAAATGAAACAACGCAAATTTCATGGAGTCTTTCAACCTGGGAGGACATGATTTAATCTCCAAGCTCAGTTCATTTACAGGAAATTACCAATAAGGATGCCAAGGACATCTCTACAGCCTTCACTATGTCAACTAGAGGCATTCCTTACTAATAAATATTTGCAAGTATAACCAAAATCTCTCTCTTAGCTCCATCTCTCAAATGTACTTTAAAGCCTGGAAGAGGAATCCATCACTGTTGACCTATTCTTTACTGAGAAGGCAGGAATTTCTGAAACATCTCCAGAGATTAAGTGATTGATACCACAGAGCACAGCCATTATATAACAACACTAAAATTACTCCCTTTGGCAATTCAATCTCTTAATAGGAGAGATAAAACAAAATCAAACAAAGGGAACTGGGGAGCAAGCTCCTGAAACAAAACCAAATTATGGGGAAATATGATAATGATCTCTACAGAGATAAAAGGGAATCTGCTGTATTTCCGAAAAGGTATAGACTTTTTCCTGATGAAGCAAGAAGAAAAGTGACCAGGATGGAGAAAAAGCTGATTTCTTAAATGAAGGAGCATTGCATCAATCCTTATCTGGCCCTGGAAGTGACAGCTGGACAGGACAGCAGGTGTGGTTCCCAAGACCCCTGGCCAGCTACCTCAGGGACCTGAACCAAAGCTCCCTTCCGGACCATAAAAGAGGGGTGTTTTTTTCCCCTTGGAAATCAGAGGGAGTTAGGGAGAATAGACTGCTCTGTGCCTGGATGTCACGAAGATATGAGGCTGATGTGTGGCTGGAGCGCTCACTCAGACTCTGGAACTTGAAAGAGCTCCAGGTTCTCCAGACTGTTGAAGGGAGTACAGTCTTCCTGAAAGCCGAAACATAGGCTCAGATAGGATGAAATATATTGAAATACAGGATTTGAATTTCGTTTATAACGTTGAGCAGCTTTAAACCTTGTTTAGAAAAAGGACAAATGCTGGTTGCTCACCATCAGTCTTCAGCTTCTGGATAGCTGTAACAAGCAGGTGAGTCACACAGAGGGGTCTCTCAGATACAATCAGCCTATGAACTTAAAGCTCAACCTAAAATAGAGCAGTGTAGTCAACGTTTAAGGCTACACTCAAGACTATGGATACTTTTCATTCCCTAAGGGGGGATGGAAAGATGAAAAGCCACTCTTTAGGGTTTGTCAAAGATCAAAAGAACAGGCAGAGGTACAGGTGCTGCAGGAAGGCTCCACACCACAACAGCTGATCAGAAGTACTGCTTTTACAAGTTGGCTTGAGCCCATGCCAACTCCTTTCTTGGCAGCTGGTGTAAGGAACTTCAAGATGTTGTATAGCTTGTTCCCTGGTCTCAAGACAGTACCGAATGTGCTAAAACCATTTTGGAGAACTATTTGTCTAAACTGTTCTCTAAAAAATGACAGTCCACTGTCTCCCTAGCCAATCTATCCTCCAGTTTCACTGTTCTCACTGTTACATAACTTAATCCTCCTTTCCTGCAATTTTAGTCCATTACTTCTTGAGGCTGGAAAACAGTTCCTTCCTTCCATTTTGCAGCTATTTCTAAGTGTTTGAGAATGGTTATCATGTCTCCCTTCAGCCTTCTCTTCTCCAAACCAAGCAATCCCAGCCTATCAGTTCATCAGGCAGAAGCCAAGCTGCTGCTGGCTGGTGATAGCTCTCAGTAACTGCTGACTGGGCAGGATTTATACCAGCAGCTCTACATGTGAAAGCCTTCACCGGCTTTAGCTCTCTGAGCCAGGCTCTCCTTTCAAAGATGTGAAAATTTTTCTGTGGTCCATTACAGTACATTAGCAAATGGACATTACAGTACAGTAAATTTCTAGAATTTACTCCATCACAATAGGATATCGTAACTAGAAGAAACCAAAGGACACCCTGTTTCTTGAAAGTGTGTTAGGGGCCTAAACTTAAAACAGACTTCTAAATACATGTTGAGGAGCAGAGAGAGAAAAAACAATGTATTGTGTTAACACCATCCCCACTCCATCCTCTCCCGAATACGTGAAATGAAATGCATGAACCATGTCTTGGTTTGCAAATGAAACTTGGTATTTGTATTGGCTGCAATGTCTCAGAGTGCTGTTTTTCATTTTAGATTTTGCATGGTAGTAAACACTGCAATGCTCTACATTCATTAAACTTGGGCCCATTTACTCTGTGCAGGCAAAGCAAGGGCATATATCTCAGACCCATAAAACATCAGTTCAGAATTACACAGGAAATAAATGAGCATAAGCCAGAAGTCCAATTTCCAGAGTCCAGCTCACCAAAGCTAAACAAGCACCTTAGACAAATACGGTCTGTTTTAAATGAAACGTTAGTGTAATTTGATAACTGTCAATAATTCCCTCATTATGCCTAAATGAGCTTGTCATCCAAGGAGATTGCTGCATGGCTGATCTTAATTTGCTAATAAAAACTGCAGAGAAGAATTTCAGCTAAGTTGGAACTATCTGATTCATAAAAGTGCAGCAGTGCACTTTTTAAAGCATTCTTTCCGAGTCCTGGCTCCTGACTGGCTGAAGCCCAAAACAAGTTTGCTCTGTTAGCCTGTAAGAATGCAGCCTTTACTATATAAGAACAATGAGCAATTGTTTCTCTAAATCACTATTATTTCTTAGCCCATTATATTTAATTTATTTTTAATCATGTTGTATAATAGAAATAAAATCATTGGATTAAGCATATATCTAGCAGCAGGAGCCCATTATCCTTTGACAATGTTCTGTTTCATTGACATTACATCTTCATTGTAGACAGTTTCCTTGCCATCATTAGGCCTAAAATGACTATTGGATTTCAAGGGTTTCTCCCTAATCCATAATAAGATTTATTTGTTAACAGTACAAAACAAAACAAAGATATGCTTCTATTGTTTTACTGCTGTGGAATCCTTATTTCAAGCCATTCAGAAAAAGAATAAATCCAGATAATGTAAGTATTAAAAGCTTTCCTGTGTAATTCTGATTCAAGGAAAAACTTCAGTAATTTTGTAAGCTTTGTATCTTTGTTTCTCTTTGTGACTTTATTTTACTTAAGTAAGAAATAGTACTTCATCAGTTCTTGAACCAAGTAAGATCTACTATTCTTTGTGCAATGATTTTTCAGAATGGATAGAGCAAATCTCAACAAAGTCCATTTTCTCCAGAAGGAGCTACAAGAGGTTTATTAGACTCCATGGGGAGAAAGAGGAAAAAACTTTTATTCAAAGGTTGCCAGCAACTTTTCTGTGATAAGTGCTAGTTAATGGGGTCAACACTAACATCAGGAAGTTAAAAAAATTCCTTCAGCATGCTGATCCCCATGGGATAATTCAACAGCTCTTGATTTGTACCACTGGCAGTCACAGTTAAATCTAAAACTAGATTTTCCACACCACATTAACAGCAGCATTAGAATGCAGCAGGTATCATCTACAGGAAAGTTTGTTTCCTGTTATCTCATAGTTACCTTTGAGGAGGTGGCAGATTTCCTTATGAAAATTACCCTTACAGATTGTCTCTTACTTAAGGATGTACTGATACGTCACTTCAGGTGGTGCTCTTTTTATGTTGAAACTGCTAGCAACACTTTGGAGTATCTGCATAACTATTTCAGCTGGGAGAACAGCTTCAAGAGATATCTGTTTTCCATATATGTAGACAAGCTGTGATACTTTCACCTGTATCGACATGATCTGCGTAAGCCATGTGGTTTCCATTTATAAGGGTCCCTACAATATAGTCAACACTCTATTATCTGGACTAATAGGAGAAAGAAATAACCCAGATAAAGGAAAGACATGCATAATTACTGCTTCCAGATAAGAGCTGGCTCAAATATTTCTGCACTATGCTCCCCAGACAGAGCTCATACTTCTGTCAGAGCTTGCTAACTTTGAGTTTATTAACTCGGGCATTACCTGCATCCATCTGGTACAAGCTAGGCAGCTTGGGTGTCTCCATGATTTAATCACCCCACAAGTAAGCTACTGACTGATAATCACCTTGGCTATAATTAAATAACAACTTCCATATTCACCCTTTTATATGTGCTGATACTGATACAGTGTAGACCCAGTCATGCATGCCCACATCAATGTTGAACGTGGCATAATGAAGACAGACAAATTATGCATGAAATGCAAGAGGAGTACCCTCAAAAGACAAGCAATCACAGAAGGCATAAAATGATGTAGAAGGGCTTTATATTCACATCTAACAACCTGGAGTAACAAAAGCACTTCCACTCTTATGCCCAGATAAACGCTGCGGAGGAAGCATGCACAGGGCAGAGGTACTACACGTGTGAACTAGAGCTACCCTTTCTGCATGAATTGCCAGAGGTTTTATATTGTTTTGCAATTACTCATTCACTTTGAATATTTATCAGATGTGAGTCTCTCAGTCTGTAATTTCCATAGACCTTTTAAAACTGACACATAGCCTTCCTGATCTTAGCACTGGTATATAAATTGTATTGTTCAGTCACAAGAGACTCTCAGTTCTGTAACAGATGTAAGGCAAAACATTGTCTTTACCACTGCAGAAAGAAATACAGATTCTCTTACAAAGTAAATGGAAAATTTTGCAAATATTTTTTCTGGACTCTTACGGAAGGAAAGGGATTACAAAGAAACGAACTCAGACTCTTAATGAAATCAGCAACACCATTTCTTATACATTACATTGAAGCGAATAATCTCCTTAAGGAAACAAAACCATTGCCAGGCAAGTTTTTAATCGTGTACTTGTACATGACATTGTGTTGAGGAATTGCTGGTTATATGCTGCCACATTCCATGTTGTGTTTATGAATTAGCGTTGCCTTGGTTTGTCAGCACATTACAATTAGACAGAGCTACACAATGATACAAGCCACGGGCCAAGCTGTAAAGGGAAAACTGATGCATTGGAAAAGTTAGCCATACCATGTGGTGTTACTAGACTGGCTACAGAAAGAGCAGCAGACAGCAAGTAATAGGACCACAAATGTCAAATTCCTAAATATCTGTTCATTTTGCTTAAAGCATCACATACAGTGTTTAGATCACTCCGGAGGTCCTGGACGACATTTTCTATACTCCTGGTATCTTTCAGAATCTCAATGCTTTGTGTGTACGGATTAAAATACACAGAAAAGGGACGATTGATTGATTTAGCAAAATCCCTGAAAGAAAAAAGAAAATTAATATCTCTTTTTTTTCTACCACTAAAGAAGAGAAAATCAGATTTGAGAGTCAAGGGAAATAATTTACCTCATCTTCTCTTTGGCTTCTTCAAAACTTTCTGAAACAAAGTAAGCTTCCTGAAAAGTGGTGATAAGGCATTCTTGCAAACAGGTTGTCTTCGGATCGAATGTTTTCACATTGGCCTTGTCAGACAGAGCATGCTGCAAAATACATCACAGAATCTTTTAAACTGTATTTTGATATCCCTTACTGTCCACGCAGTTGTATACTTTTATTTCACTGTGCTGTATGTTTTCCATTAGTTGGTAGTCTCATTCATTTAACATACAGTGATCTTTCAGTGTGAATAGAATAAATCATTTGTTACTTAAGAATTTTTTTTTTTTTTTTTAAACACACTGTCATTTCTTACCCAAATAATTATTAAAAATTCAAGAGCAGATTAGAAAGGTACCTGCCATATAGGCATCTAGACCTAAATCTTCAGCTGGAAAAAAGTCATAAAATAAACATTCCTGAAAAACAATCTATACAACTACAAATACGTATGTCCCCAACGTATCACTTCACTCGCACAATTGATAATCATCTTGGTAGAGGAACTGAGTGTGACCAAATCATTCAAATAATCTGTACATCACATTGTCAGGTCAAATTCAAATGCTATTTTCTTAACAGTGAGTTTAAGAGTGAAACTATGTATTTGAAGATCCATCAAATAATGCCTATGGATTGTGTGCTGATGAAATGCATTACCCTTCTACCACATACACCTGAACAATAATGATCCGTATAATACAGAAAGGAAAAAAGAACTAAATAAACAGGCATAGATATGTACTGAGCAGACATTAGGCCAATGAGGAATCAAGTATTGCTACCCAAAGAAGAGATTTCAGATTAGCCTTCCTCTTTATGTGACTGGCATGAGCCAGGACACAGCCGTCTCACAGCTGAAAACTAAGTACTGAGACATTTTACAAAATCTTTTTCTAGCTCCCCCTTTCCACTCAGAGTTTATGATACTTGTATTAGTTTTTGGATCTATCTTAACCTTTAGAGTACAATTATTTTCATTCTCAGTGCTCAGTACGTCAGACAGACGTACAAGCGTGGAAAGTGAGCATACTTAAGTCTACTTTCTTTAGTCCCCTAATATCTATCCATAGTGAAGATGTGTGTGAAAACCATAGAGAAACGACATGGAGGGAGCAGATCCCTGAGGTATGAAGGTTCCCCTTATTTTTGCATGGGCATTCTTTGGAGCAGAGCAGCACCTTAAGGTACTGCTCAGGACATCTTTTATCTGAGTTGTTCTTGCTTATGTTCATTCCTAAATCCCTGTGAAAGGCTCTGAAAACATCACACTAGCTCTCAACCTGCAGTCTCCAAATAACAGGACATAAAATTGGAACAAGAACCTCTTTTCCCACCATCTCTCTCTCCAAAAACAAATATATGAAAAATTAATACATGGAAACTTAAAATGTTGGAGAATTAACTTCCTTCAGTACATAAAACTGTTCCTTTCCCCTAAGTTTGCTGTTTCTAGATAGCTATCAGTAAGACAGGTTTAAAGCCAAACAATCAAAAAATGGCCTGTCTTAACCAGCATTCTCTTGTAAATGGCCTGCAGAGCAAGCTCACCTTATTTGGCCCCATCTATATCCTTGTTGCCATCATCTCCTTGCAGAGCCATGATGTGCTTGAGCACCTGTAAATTTAGGCGTTTACCTCCTTCCACTGAATTGAATTTGTTTTTCTTGACTGGGAATTATAATAGGCTTCCTGGGAGGTTAACCAAGGATAAAAACATCTGCTTTTAAGGTGACTTTGTACTTTCAGGTGGGGCCTGAAGTGTCTAAAGCACAAAGTTTTAAAACTCTAACAGGATTCAGGGAAGCCCTGTGCAGGGAACCAACAGAATGCTACCGTAGACCAAGCTTGTTGTGGAATTGAATCAGTAGCTTACTAAATCTGGCTCATGAATCCTTTTCTGTATTGTGACAGCTTCAGAAGAAAGGGTCAGGGCGTTCTCCTCTTCTCTTCCACTCATAAATGGCCTCTGATGGTACAGGCCCACTCTTTGGACAGAAGGAGACAAATGTAGGCTAGAGAGTTGAGAAGAAGATTCAGCCTATGGTTTCTGCATCATGAACAAGTGCTGTAATCACTGAGCCCATTCATAAAAGGGGAGAGTTTAAAGGAAAGCAAAAATATAATTCCTTGTTACATCATACTGGATGTGCTCTGAGAAAGCAGTTCAAGTTATTCTTCTCAGATTCGCAATTTAGTTTACACCTGAGCAGAGCTGCCACCTCACAAAGCAACTCTGCAGAGAATGGGCTGTGCAGACACCAGGCAAGGGCATGCCTTCAGAGTCAGGTAACAACTGATTAGTTACTCTTAGCATCACAGCTTGGGACTGAAGTGCCTAAATTCTGCTGAACTCTCACCTGAGATGCCTATTCCTTCTTGGATATGGCTTTTGGGCTTAAATCAATGAGGCATTACAATGGTGACCATTGCAATGCTAAGTATCTTTGCAAGATGGAGGTCTGAAATTCTGCAGCCTGGCATCTGTAAAGTGCACTACTGAGTTGATATGCTGACATCAGCAATGCCAGAGTTCAGCATCAAGGCTGTAGCCAAACATTTAGAGAGACCATAAACTCTCTAGTGTGAACTAGGATGGCCAGGACACCCATTCAAAGCAGAACTAGAGTGTTTTTCACAAACCTCACAGTGCTATGAAATGTTAGTCCTTGGGTACTGTAAGGGCATTGTGAAGTACAGAATCTCAAATAAAAGCTTTGTCTGTTTGATCCAAAAGCTTTTAAGCTAAGATCTGTTTTGTTTTGTTTTGTTTTTTTTAAAAACAAATGCTACTCACTTATGTTTTGTTTGGACACATATCTTCACCAAACTCAAATGTGTAAATACCTAATATGGATTTCTCCCTCCTAAACCTCTTTAAGATGCCAAGGCTAATATTCATATGGATCACAGTTCTCAGTCAAATGGAACATCTCACCATCTTGTGGACTTGAGATAATAACTGTCTTTAAATAGCCCATTTACACAGGTTGTAATGCTTATGCTAATACAGCTTAAGCAACAGGAGTCTGGAGTGAAACTTCCAAACTGATCTTCACTGATTCCCAGGAAAAGCAGCAATATTAGACAATGGGACAGCTCAAGAAAGAGACAATTCCCATACTGCGAATAAGCATAACACTAGTGAAACACCTCCAGTCCAGCTAGATCAGAGTTTAAGAGGTGATTCAGGCACCTAACCACAGGTCTCTAGTGCCTAGGATGTCTGAGGCATCTGCACAGGGATGGAAAATATAGCACAGGACCTCATGTAGACTTATGCCCTCCTGGGGTGCAGCTGGAGAGCAGGTCAGATACACCAGGGCATCTCAAATTGCACCAGGTTTACACTGAGCAATCATGAATCATTTCCTAAGTGACAATTGTCACAGATGCATGAAAATAGTTTTGTCCTATAATTTCTCCTTTGAGGATAAAAACCGTGGTGAAATAATACAACTCAGAGCTTTTCTGTTTCACCAAAAAAACCCAAAATAAATTATAAAAAAAAAAAGAAAAATCTTCAGCTATCAAGGGGAAAATCTCAGATTAGTTATAAAAGCTGCATTCTCTGAAGAGTACAGGGGGGCAGGTGAGAAGCTGCCTCTATACCAGTAGTGATTTTATTTGCCTTGCTATTCTGTGGGAGAATTTGAAAGAATCTTGAAAAAAAAACATGCTCTTAAATGGCTTTCTGCTTATCTCTAACATAGGACATTTCCAGATTTGTGAGCTGATGTTACCAAAAATTTTGTATGTTATCAATATAATTTTATATATTGTTTAGAGAAATAGAAGACGACTCTCCAGTTAAAAGGAGCAGCAAAATGAGCATCTAGTACCCAGGAGTTGTTTTCTCCATCCTCTTCATAAAACAAAAAGAAAACTTGTATTTGAATCCACTGCTTTATCTTTTTGGTTATAAAGAGGGATAGGCTAATCTTGCTTATTCTTAACATAAAATATCATAAAACAAGACATGACTGGATATTGTATTTGACTTAAAAATACAGAAAATTTTGAAGTCTGCCTCTCTTCCAAATATAGAAGCATATAACAGGGACATATGATTTGATCTACAGACACCTGAAGTTGATAGGAAGACTCCTTTAATGAAAGGGTTCAAGAGAGCATCATATAAAGTAAATGGATTAAAGTTTCCAAAGACATTTGGACCGCTTTTTAGAAATAGTTTTAATAACTGAAATGTACATTATTTCTGCCCCATCTCTAAGCCCCAAATATATACCATGTAGTAGCATTAGCTAGAGTTAACCGGATTATATTAGGCAAACATTTTATAACTACTTACTATATTATTTCTTTCCCCTCAGGCTTCATTTTTGATCTTACCCTTTTCCCTATTTTGTTGTGCTTTCTGTATTTTTTTGTTTGATTCTTCCATAGCATGCACATCAGGAGCTGTATCTTTCAGTATCTGAAATTCTAACTCTAAATACTGAGTGGGAAAAAAACTTCAAGGAAATCCTATACTGATAGGCTGGTGCCTTTATTTCCCTAGCTTTTAGTTCTCTATTGCTAAAGCTGTTGGCCAGACTTGCAGAGGGGAGTAGCGTAACATAGAAATAGGGATGACTGAACAAGCAGTTCACTTATCTGAAAGGCCCAAGTATTGCTGGCTACTTCCACCTTGCAAATAACGCCACCCAGTTATTTCCAGGCGTTATATGTGAAATTGGCCACTGTTTCGTTTCCTATGAATACTGTGACATTGAAAGGAGAATGGATGGGGAGGGCAACTGGAGAAAGGGCTCTTCTACTGGCTAACAAAAGCATAATAATATCAAACATCTGTAAAGTCAAGGTAGAAAAACTCAAGACTGAAACAAGACCTACCTTCCTAGTGTTAAAGATAAATAAATATTTGAATGATTTCATAGAGGAACTATGGGCCCACCATCACTGTTGTCTTAAGAATGGCAGTAGTTATTTCTGAAAGGACTTCTTCCCTCTGTCTCCTGTGAGGATTAGCGGGGTGGCATATATGAGGTCAGACTTCATGGTCATGCAACCTAAGTCCACTATTCATCCCCATTCATCACAGAAATAGCTGGTATAGTTCTCATTACCTTCAGAGCAGTTGCTGCTCTCCATTAGCCTCTCTGTTACAATCACAATCCTGATATCATTAGGATCTCAACTACAGCCTACTACATTAGCATTATCTTTCAGACACCTGCAGGTCAAGGAAGAAATTCTCCCTCCCCGTGGGTGCTAGGAGATAAGGGCAGAAGTAAGGAAAGTTGCTTTCCTGTAAAAAAAATCAGAGACTAGCAATGGCTAGACACAAGCTAGGAGACATTGTGCACCAGTGTTAGGAGGCACCCAGGTGCACCTGGCTGATGTATCTTGTTTCCATGAAGCACACTGATTGCCAGATTTGTGGTCTAGAAAGAGCTTCTACCTGGTCAGATTTGCAGAAGCTTCAGTAATTTTGATGCCGGAGGTTTTCTTACCTTCTTTTTTACTCTGGAGCGCAGAGGTCCCTCAGAGACTGTGAGGCTGTTTTTCACCTTATCAATTTCTTCATTGAAACTATGGGTAATTGTGGTATGGTGCTGTTCTGTGCCTGCAGCACACAAGTACTTATTCTCTCAAGAACTGAAATGTTTTAGTCTAAGTTAAGTCCCTGTGCTCAGTATATGCAAGGCCTGGGTGAAATTTAATAGTCTGTGATATATAAGAGGTGAAACCAGATGATCTAATAGTCCCCTCCGGCTTAACATCTATGAAATATATATGTAGTGTAATAGAAGTGTATAATATTATTGATTTATGGCAACATTATTATGATATATGGTCTTACCTTTGAAGTAGATCAATATAGCCCATTAATGTGCACATTATATAATTTTTATTGTTGCTTTTCAAAAGGATTATGCTTTGTCTCTATACTCTGAGATTATTTCTGAGTGAAGAAATCAGATTTGGGATCACAGCTAAGACTGCTGTGTGGGAACAAAATATGCATACTTAATAAGAATAATGTGTTTGTTTATGACATGGATGGTATAAGATTTATTATGTTCTTGAGTATTCATTTCCTTGCTTTTATGTCTTTAGATTCTGTAAATGATACGATAGGCATTTTCAGGGTCATCGCTTAACAACCATAACTGGTAGTTTAGCTGAACCTTGCACAGACTTTGGGGCTCAGCACTGAATGGTGCTGGGAAGGAGGAAAACAACTGAGACGTGTTCATGTTATTGTGTTTAACCATCTTCGCACTTTGGGGACAAATACTGCCAGGCTGTTACAGCAGAATGCTTCTGTGTCTGCAATATGTACTCAATTGAGAAACACTGTAACGCAATCAAAGAAAAAAAAAATCAGAAAAAGTCCTTTTCTGTGACCTTTTTCCATATACTTTTTATAATTCTCTTTTGCAAGCTTACTAATAAAAGCACAGTAGTTTGATTAATGACCTTCAGCCTGAACGTTCTCAATTACAGGTGAAATAAATAACAAAATCAGACTGAGATACTACCGTTAAAGTGCCAAGTGGAGCTGGTTAAACACAAATATATAGTAGATCTATTGCAAAATGGTTTGTAAATACTATTCTATATATGCTTTATGAACCCAAATGTTTAAATGAAAAGCCACCAAGAGCTCATTTGGGCCCCCAAACATAGTATTCCTTCATCTCCTTCCCCTTCCCTCCCAACTTGCCAAGAGATGCGCATTACTTCTCAAAATATTACACTTTCGGCAAAATCTTTGGTTGTTCCTTATATTCTCCAGGCAGAAAAAGAGGCACAGAATGATCCACTACAACCACTCACACAATGCACTTCTGTGTTTTAAGAATAGGGCTTTATGTACTGTCACTGAGGCATACACTTTAAGTTTAGCATGAGTTTAGATGCATGCCTGAATTTTAAATATGATTAATTTACTGAATCAGGGTCTTAATAAACGCTGTTCTATCACTAATACACTGAAACACTCTGGATTCTCCACAACAAAAGCAGGTCTTATTTCAAAACAATTTTTTCCATATATTCAAAATAAATGTTTTTCTTCTAAGCAAACCCCGGACATCAAAATCACCTTACCTATTAGAATCTACGAGTTCTGGGATCAAGAAGCCTCTATTCACAAAAAATGCAAGTGTCTCATAGGGTACTTATTTTTTTAAATTCAAATAGAAATAAATTTTGTAATTTATAGCTGCTGTGGTATTTCAGTCTTTACAAATCCATTTCATGTTTCAAGTGCCAGCTAATGTTTCAGACAAAGTTTTCAGGTCAATGTCATATTTTAAAAGTACCGTTTTTATCTTGAGAACTTTAACAGTTATTTGAAAGTCAAAGTATTTACACCTAACTATTATTTTCTTATGATTAAAAGTAACTTGTTTCTGCTTAAAGGGCATATCAACTCACATACCTTTAATTCTCCAATAGAAGACAGAAGTCCTGCCCCATAAGCACGCAGTTGTCCTTCTTGCTTGCAAAGGCCAAATTCAATAGTAAAAAAGTAGCACTGTAAAATATATAGATATACAGTTACATATATTACAGTTGCAAACAAGCACTTCGGCAATGACAATTAGTGCCATATTCACTTGATTGCCCTACTAGGTCATAGTTTCATGTTTTTTAAATAAATTCAGATGAAGGATGTTATTACTGCTAAATATTTTAAATGTCATGTTCTTCAGTAAAGGAGCTTTGTACAAGAAATGTGAAATTCTGTTTTTTGTTTGGCACCTGAGCAATTCACTAGAATTAGCTGGCCATTCACAAGAACAGACAAGTAAGGTCATTTAGGTGTCTGAGGTGCAGATAGTGATCTGCAGAGTTTTTCTGAAACCTTCTGAAATAGATGATATGCCTTAAAAGAAAATCCTACAGAGTCTTTGTCTGCCTCTCTAGGAACCTTTGAAGGTCTCCGAGACTCAGTTTAGAGCACTCAACAGTAAGCACATGCGGACGTCGCCTTGAGTTTGGCATGTGTTTGAGTGCTAGCATAGCAGTACCGCATCGAACTTTGCTGTATCCAGCTAACAAAGTTAAATGTTAGGGAGACCTTGAGGAACACTCATAACCACTAAATGAGAAAGCAAAGACGACAATCACTTCTGCTCGTATGTTACTCAACTTTTGTTATGATACATTCTTTTTGTTAGATCAAACAGACAGATTAAGCTAGTAACTATTTCTACACATAAAGCTTTTAGGAAGCTAATTTATGACTTCTACAAAAATACCATAAATATTTATGTTTATTATATTATCTGACAATTTCAGTATTTGTGTAAAGGGACATAACTCTGCTGAAATTAACAGCTATTTGTCTTCACATGAAATACAAATTTAGACAGCAGCTTTAATTAAGCATGTAACAGCTACTGTGGGTGAAGCTTACATGTACCTTTAGAATAAGCAAGAATTTGATACTTAATCTGAAGTTTTTCTGAATATCCTGAGAATTTTATTTCGTTTTTGCCGTTTCCTCCTTCTCCTACAAATTCCACTCTTCTACGCTGAGTATCAGACTAAATGCACACGAGCAGAAATTAACAGCTCTTTTAAGTTCAACAAATGTCTAGAAATTGAGAATTAATTCATTTTTCTTTCGCATATAAAAGTTCCTGTAGGGCCACTGATGTATGCAGCATGGCACTATGTAGAAGTGTATAATAAAAAAAGAATGAAAACATGCACACATGAATTTGTGTCTGATCCAAACCTGCTGCAGTCAACTCGGAACAGAAGGTTCTACTGACTTCAGAGGTTTTGAGTCCAGTTCCAGTAAAGGAGTCAAAGGCACAGATATCCACAGGAGGAGGTGAAAGCACAGGATTGTCAAATAAGAAACTGAAGTTCTACCACTCACTTTGCCATTGAGTTGCATAAGTCAAGTTGGGATAAATTTTTTGTTAGGTGCAAGCAGCTGATGTCAAGCAATTAAAGGAAGGCCAAGACAACTGGTTTCCAAAAAAGCTGTCTCAAGAACATTAGCCACGTACACAAATGAAATAGAAATCTAACGTAGGACTTCAGTGAAGCTGAGACACCTACCACCAAGAAGAATACAAACTTAGCTTCCCTGCCTAAACATTTTGCCAGAAAAACTTCACAGGAGCTACACTCCTGGTTCTGCACACGCCCCCACTGTCAACAACAAACAGCTCAGCTTTAAGCCTAAATCGTACCAGCCACTTTGAACTAGCCTCCTCCCTCTCAGCTTGTTTAGACGAATTTAACTAGTAGATATGCTCTGAACACAAACAACCTGATAGACATACAACAGGACTGGGCTCCTCATAAAACTCAGTGATCACAGTCATTTTCTTTCCTGAAATGAACAAACAGCTAAAATAGGGAGTCTGGTGTTTGCCTATTACAGAAGATCTGTAAGAGTGGTGGTAACATGCAGGATACCTTCAGACCTATCTCAGCCTGAGGAGGATCAAACCAATGTTATGTTGCTCCCAGGAGAACGTCCATTCAGCATCTATAAAGCCAGCGGAGGGAAGGAAGAAAAACACTCTCCACTTCTCTGAAGAAGTGCACTAACAGGGAAAGGACAGGTAGCAGGGAGAGAGCTAACAACAGCACAAGAGAGAGCTGTCGCTGCAGCCCAGAGGTAGGGTGTTCATAAAAGAGAGGGAGACCTGGATTTCGTATCACTTTGTTGGATAAACTGGGGATAAAGAGCGATCATTCTACTAAAGTTACAAGAATTACGACTATTATTATAACAAAAGCGAGTCTTATTTGTAAGCTTACACTTACTGATGAGAATCTATGTTTAGCGTTGGTAAAGCCTTGCATTCTCAGTATAACTAATTTAAATAAAATACATACAAAATGACCAGATGGTAAAATACACCTCTGCTACTACTAACTTGTAGTATTAAGCTACAGTCTTCAGAAAAGCCCTTCAAAGGAAAAGCTAATTTTATGATAAATTTGCCATATGCAACAACTACAGTATCTATATTTTAAGAGAGCGCTACTTAGCTAAGAAAATAAGATAACTCACCCAATGCTGCCATCTTCAGATCATTAGTCAGTAATACATGATTCCCCTTCACATACACAAATACATATACACATACACACAAGGCCTGGTGCAGTATGAGTTTCAGCAGGCTTTGGAAAGCGATTCTCTCAAGCCTATACACATTGAAGCATATTGATAAGGAGGTTAAATATAAACTATATAGACCCACACTTTATAGACCAGAGGCACTGTTATGTATCTCTCTGTAGAGTACATCACAGTAACTGGGGGATTCTGTATTATATACAGGATAAGTGCTACTGCAGCTGGAATGACTGAATGAAGACATGGCTGTTCAGATGAACAAAAAAAAAAAAAAAAGCCTTCTCTGAAGGTAAAAAGCTGATTATTACCTGATTATTACATGTAGGGTGGTGAATGCAGGCACAAATGAGGCATGCAGGCTCTCATATTCAGATTTTCAATCTTTGACCTGTCTCTGGCCTATCAGGCAGCCTAGAGTCTTCTGCTCCTATTTACCACATCATAATATGCAATGGAAAGAAATGTAAATACATTAGGAATGCACAGGTGGCCTGTAAGAAGCTCCAGAACTAAACTGTTGTATACTAAATACAACAACGTTGTCAACCTTTTCACAGTAGGCTCTTTCAAGAATTCATCTCTGCTTCCCCTTCTTTTTAGCCCTCTTCTCACCCTTAAAAAAGATTATGATTATATAGGAGAACAAATAAAGTCTTGATGCCTCCATTCACAAGATTCACTGTATATATTTACAGCAGCAATGAGAACAGCACTGTTTAATGCTCCACAATACCTCTCAGCTAGCAAAGGGATAGATATTCTTAAGCAGTTGATATGATACAGTTCTCACTGAAATCAACAGGAATAATACTATTCAAATCCACGGATAGTGAATCCAACCATAAAATATAAGACGGAGAAAAAGAAAGTTTAACTTCTTAAAGAACGGAGATAGTGGCTTCCTGTGGAAATGATCATTGCAAATAGCAAGCCACAAGAACAGCAGGATGATGCAAAGAAGTAGAAAAGGTACCTTTTCACATTGTATTAATTTAGTGGTTCTTGAAAAGTCTTCCACTGAAATGCCTTTTTGTTACCCAAATCAGTAAAAGAAGAAGAATCAAAGGGCCAAAATGAAAGGATTTAAAATAATTCTTAAGCCAAGAAACCCTGGTGTAATGATCAAGACTGTACCAGGAGCACAAGATAGTGTAGGATATGATTTTAGTATATTTCTCTTATTTAGCTGAAGTACATGAAAGACAGTCTACAGTCATTCTCATGAAACATTGTCGACATGGGTTCAAAAATGATTAGATAGATCCACGGGAAAAAAAAAACGAAACATTAAGAGCTATGAAACACAAATATAGGAGATGTCTGCCTCCAAAGTCCCCCCATTACTGGTAGCTAAAGCAGTATACCAGGAAACATCACCACTCTGTGACTTCAGTCCTACACTGTCCTCCAGGGATCTGCAATTTGTCACTGTCAGAAAGAAGGTAGTGGGATAGTTGGTCTGACTGAGATGAGTCAGGTCACAGATCAAGCCCTGACAAACTCCTGTTCTCCAGGGTAAACGAGATGCCCCTTCTTCATGTTCAGGCACTGTGCTGCAATATAAACTGGATTACTTAAACAAACAAACAAACAAACAAGTGTATTAAGAAATTTTTCAAAGACAGGAGAACAGCCTGATGAGCTCAATTCTCTTCATCTGATTGGTTTCTAAACCTTTGAACTCAGTCCTAATACCATTTTGCAGTTGGGAATCTCCCTCTAGGGACCTATGCAAAGGGCTCATTCACCGTGTTGGGTGGTAACGCCGCAGACTCAATACTTCAAAAAAGGTCTGTAAAAGTCTCTAAAAAAAGTTTTTTCATCCCATTCCCTTTCACATAGTTTTCCGATGGTATAGCTTAGTCACTGATATTTGTGTTCACTTGGCAATTTTGAGTATGATGTACACGAGATTTCATCTGCTCTCTAACGCCACCTTATAAAGAAATTTTAAGGCGGAGTCCTGAAAGCACTGACCAGGGGAAGGAGGAGGGAAAGGGCAGCTGCATAACTACAACTTTATCATACGGACAGGAATATTCACCAGAAATCACTAATGGGATGAGACTACAGCCCCAAGTTGACATCCTGCAGTAACAGAAACAATTACTTTATGTGTAAATAAATAAATAAATAAAATCAGTTCCAATAAAATTACTGATGCATTCAAATACTTGCAAGACCAGGGCCAAAGAAATATCCCTAAAGAAATATCTTTAAATTCTTTCTAATGGATTTTTTCAAATTCAAATGTGTGCAACATGTTCAAAATATGCAAAGATTAATTCCTTTTACTTTAGAGGAGAGCAGCTTTGATATTTTAGCTTTAAAATTACTGACCTGGGAGAGTAACTCTCTCATACAGCTAGAATTATTTTGTAGCAAGATAGCTATAAACAACTAAAGGACTCTTAAAAAAATTTTTT